AGGCCATTTCAAAGGAAAAGGGAAAAAAAGTTAATAGGTCTCACTTGAAAGAAAGCTGTGGGTGATATACAAAAACGAAGACCATTTATATAGTCATGAATTTTTGCTTCAGGAGTTTCACCAGCCGCTGCAGTTCCATTATCACTTCCTTCTTTTAAGATAGGAAGAGATCTAAGAGGAGCATCCGATGGAGCTACATTTGATATACCAGTGTGGTCCTGCACAAGTACAAAAGATTTTATGTGAACTTGAAAGGGAATAAACCACCACAAAAATCATTGAAATGGAAAATCATTTTTTTAGACAATGTGTGTGCTCCAAATGTTTAGTACCTGAACTACCAAAGATGTAAGGGGTAACACTGGAAATTCTGTAGAAGCCCCATGAGCAAAGGCTTTGGCCATCTTCTGCAGTTCACTATCAACCACCTCACTATCAAGCCCAGCTGAGCAGATCTGAGAAATTAAGAATTCGGTGTAAAATAAAAAATAATGACAAATAAACAGTAAATTTGGCACAGCGTTTCTTTGACACACAAATGCATACACATGCAACACTTACTGGAAGTGAGCATGGAATTTGAAAAATCACATCTTGTGCACATTCCATAGGCATTTTATTAGGCTACTCAGCAGCAAAAAAAATTTACCAAACAGTAACACTATGTTTGTTCAAGGAATTTGAAAGGGAAAAGAAAAGAAAGTGAGAAAAAAAGCAACTTTTCTTGTTTGGTTAGAGAGGAAAAGAAAAGAAAAGTGGAAAGCAAGTAAAATGGGAGAAGAAAATGCACTAAAGAAGAAAATGATTTTCCTTCCTTTTGGTGAGGAAAAGGAGAGAAAACCTCTTTCTTTTCCTTTCTTTTCGAATTCCACGAACCAAACATAGCATAACATTTTGCCCATGGAATCAGCTAACATTAAGATTTAGGAAAGAGAGAAAATATGTATTATAGAAGTTATTTTTTCATTTTATGGCAGAAATGAATGAAATTTTAAAAAAAATGACACTTGAAGTCTACAACTTTCAATTTCATGTATTATTTTCTCCAATTTATTTCAAATAGTATCACAAATTTTAGCATACTCAACCACTTCAGCAATTTTGGGCCTAACAAAATGGCTCTTTGCTCTTATTTATAAAACTCTAACCTGAACCATGAGCATGACCTCTGAAATATTTGGCAATTCAGGATTTTCATCCTCAGCCATTCTTCCAGGTGTTCTACCTTCCCGAACCTAAAACAGACATTATAGAAGAAAAACAGTAAGAACAGAGCACAACATTTATTCACTCTTCTGATAGCTGTGTATGTCTTTTATAGAGTTAGTATACAATGATGACTAAAAATGATCATAAAATTGCTCTCCTCTCTAACCTTCTCTCTCCAAAACTGCTGCCTTCCACTTCTCTAACGATCTTCCCGTGTTCTGCATGATGAATGAACCCCAAGATGGTGGCTCTCGTGTCACAACCGAGCTGGCGGAAATAATGACAGATGCCGATATGGTCTCAGGCAAAAGGAATTAAGCATCACCTAAACTTAAATCATTTAAGGTGGTGGGTCACACTCTAGGGAACAAGAATGGGGGAAGATTCTGATCCAAAGTGTTACTGATAGGAGTAGATGTGTGAAAAAGGTTGTTGGTAAAGAGCCGGCCAATCACAATGCCATGGTGACTAGTCAAGGCAAGAAGGCTTTGGGTTCAAAATGACTAGTCATCTTTTCTGGAATATTAGAAGAATTTTCAAGAAGGTGGCTACTGGCTAGATTGCTAGAAAGAAGCTCCAAGCCGCTACTCTGCACCTTAAGTTGAATTCAGTTTGTATATTCGATTATTCAACTTATGGACTACAGTTGATAGATCTGAGAATAAGATATTTCCCTCTCAAATTAATTTCAAAGGTTCCTTAGCTAACCCATGTGGTCTTCTTTGGTTCTCCAGGATTGATGGGGTTCATATTGAACTGAGAATCCATAAGGATCATACCCAATGAGCCACAAAATTACAATGGTTTATGCCAAGACCACAGTTTCATGGAGAAGAGCCCTTTTTGACGTCATTGAGAATCAAGGCAGTGCTTGTCCCTCCCGCTGGTTATTTCAGGGGTGAGGTGTAGAGAAAGGCAGAAGATGTCCAAACCAGCAAGCTATTCAGGAATTTGGTAATTGCATTTCAAATGCACATGAATGATGGTATGTTAACCTGGAACTGGAATAAAGGGCTCTTCTGGAAAAAATGGACAAATTCATCATTAATGGTGAATGATAAAATTAAAGAGTGGAATGTGGAAGCTGAGATTTTTAGGCATGTCAGAATGGTGGGCTTTGCTCACTTCGTAAATGATGTCAGCCTTTACCAATGGTCAAAAGACTTCTATTGACAGCCTGGTGGCCTTACTAAGCTCTTATACTGCTGATTCTAGTCAAGTATAAATCTGAGTAAAAGCTCTTTTATTACAAATGGGCAGAAAGATCACAACGGGGTACCTATGTGGACTGGAATTAACCACCAAAAAGGATGCAAGAAGACATTCTCATAAGAAGCAATGATGAATTAAATAAGGTTTCACTGATATGAGTTTGGCTTTGTCACAGGCAAATAGAATAAAAAGGTTAGCCCTTTTTTAAAAAACTCAAAAATTTTAGAGGAATTAGAGCTTTTTAATGAAACCTCCTATTTTTGCTGCTTTTTAGTGAAAACCCCTAACTTTTTGGAACCTTATAGAGAGACTCTCTAACTAGGGGCTTTTGAGAAAAACTCTCTAGCCCTAAAGAAATACGGAGTAGTTCTTTTTTCTTAACTTCCAAATCAGCATTTTGATAAATGTAAGGCATTAGCGTAAAGCCGTAAATATAAATAAGGAAACCCATCGTAGGGATTGGAAAACCAAAACTAATTGACAAAAATCACATAAAGAGTACAACAAATGAGTTTAATTTCAACTCCATTGGGATGTGGGGATCAAGATGTACGCAACCTTAACCCTCTAAAAATAAAACTACACTGAATATTCTATTGTGGTTGCAATTAAAGACTGAAGCAGTAAAATAGGCATCCTTTTTGGGTCAAATCTTCCTTCAATCAACCAGCTTGTTAATTAGAGATGTTTCACTCAGTTTTGCTCTTGGGTGAACTGTTCCCTATCTATTGCTGATAGGCTTGTGTTGCTTAACTCATTTGGTAACTCTATACCACTTTACCTCCATTATCTTCTTGCTCCTCCTACTAATGAAATTTATAAGTTGGAAATACTGTACAATGGAATCCTGAGGAGGAACTAGGAAGATAGATAAAAAGATACATCAGGGGAACTAGGAAAAGAACAGCAGACCTTTGGAGGAAGGTTTAGGCTGCAGAATCCTTCTTGAACTTGTTCAAGGTTTTTCCATGTAAATTTGGTGGAAATTAAAATCTCAGACTTCTCTATGGAGTAAAATTCATGAGCTTAAATATTGTAGGGGGAAATCTTGAGCTATTACTGAAAAGGATGAGCTCAGCTATGTCTGTACGAGGAAGATGGGGATGTACTGATTTTGATGTAATATGTAATAACAAAAGGTTTAGTCTTTCAAAAAAATATACTCTTCATTTACAACAAAGAACTAGCTACATATGAGCAATTGGTTAAGAAAGAACGCATTTTTTATTCATATGACAGATGTAGTCTCGGTTTGGTAGCAAGCTCATTTTGGTTATCAACAAAATAAATATCAAAATAAGTTTCTTTGAACTTATTTTGCTAAAATGGATGTTACAAAACACTGTTCTTGCGAAAAATCAGCAATTCAGCCAAACAACTCTCACTAAACAAAGTTCATAGTATGACAGAAACCAAAAGTTTAATATACCGTAAGCTGACGCCAAAATCCAGTATTGTTCAATCTGTTCCATATGGGTAGGGATGTGTGTTGCAGATATTCTTGAAAGATAGAAGCATATCTACAAGCAACCTGGGATACATTAGGGCAATCCAAAGGCTCCTCAACAGCTGTCACACCTTCCCTAAGAAAAAGTAATGAGATAAGTAATTCCCTTTATGTGGAAGAATATAACATATGACATCAATTCCATTTAATTAAATTATAAAACTACCTGAAATTGCCAAGTTGAAATCCAACACATGGTGTTCCTTTTAGGGAATAGCCAACAGAAAACTCGCACTTGTTTCGATACCCATTAATGCATGGGGATGACACTACATTCTCCAGTTTGCATGGTAGGCCGCCTGCTTATGAAAAAATTAAGATTTATTGGAAATTATTGTATTTGGTTTTTTTAAAGACATTATATAAACTTTAGCAATTAGCATCACCTATTTCTCTTGAATTCATAATCCATTCTGGAAGTGACACCCCACTTGGACAAGCTTTGCGCGCATTTCGGGTCTACACAAATTTGAATCCAAAGAGATGAACAATGTTACAAAAAATTATAAAGAGATTATTTTTGTTAAAAAAAGAGTCCCCGGAGAAGAGATACTGACAAGTTTTTTTAAGGTTTGAATTAAAGAGCTCTTCTTGTGGTCCAATTGGTCAGGATATGGCATATCTGCAAGCGGAGTCACTACACTACGGACACTCCTGGCCTTCACTACAGAATCACTGTTGATTATGTTCTGTTTTTCAAATGACCTAGGAATAACATCAGCAACCTTCAATGTCTTGTTTCCAACACATGTTCCTTCTAGCTCCTGCCACATTGAAACTAATGAACTAACTCGGGATAAACCACTACAGATGCACAATCAATTAAGGGTCAATTTGGACATTTGGTCATTGTTGGTTGGCTAGATGACTAGATCTACTAGATTTTCAAAAAGGTGACGCTTTTGGATACATCCATTTCTGCCAAATGAGTAAATAAAAAGCCACTTACTCAATTGACAAACTAAACAAGCTTAAAGGAACTACTGTTAATGAACCAATTCAACACAAAAACTCATACTTGTGGTCGGAATCCAAAGAAAGGTTTTATACTCTAACACTTTCCTTAATGTGTATGCAAAATTTGTCTGTTTGAACCTTGCACGCGAATATTAATTTTGGCAAGTGCTTGACGGTAAGATTTGAACTTGAGCTTTTAAATGTCTTAAGAAACCAGCTCAACCAAAAGTTTAAGCTTGTGTCAAAAGTACAAGAAAAGTTTTATACTTTAAAAACTATCAAACCTAGCCCAAATGTTTTGAGGCATACCTCAGCAATTCTCACTTGCTCTGCATTTTCAAAAGTCACAAATCCCACCAACATGCCTTCCTTCTTCTTGGCTGTTTTGAAGAGAATAGCCTGAAGATTTATATGCAATTACTATAAGTCGATATCAACTCATTGCAACAGATGACGAATATGTACGATACGAACTGTAACGTAGCGTCTAACAAATCAAAAGCACTAAATTTCAAGGGGAAAAAAATTAACATGTTCTCTGAGGAAAGTCTTCAATTTATCAGAACCCCACTTCATAGGAAGATTCACAAAGCACTTGGCTAACTTGGAATCTGAGGAAGAACCATCCTCCTCGGCAACAGCGTCCGTCATCATGACCTCATTGCCTCTCTCTTTATCAGCATCTTCAGTTGTGCTGGCATCCTCGCCGTCTAGCCTAGCCATCTTCTTCACCCGCTCGGAGGTCGGGTCCCATGAGTTGTCGGGTCGGGGTCGGAGCTCCGACTCTCCGTGGGCGTACCGGCAAGAATCCCCGTGGCTGCATGACCCGTTCGACCGCCGGAAGTATGAGCAGAGAGTCGTCTTCCAGAGTGGGTTCTGCGGAGGTTGGTCCGGTTCTACTTCTTCCCGTTTTCGCTTCTCCGGCTGGTTGGTTTCGGTGCCGGGTTCCCTTTCGGGTCGGACTTCTGGCGAATGGAGTTGCTCCGATGAGTCCTCCGGGGAGATTGTCGGAGGCATTAGGGTTTCTGCTGCTGGTGGCGGAGCCGCAGACATTGGAGGACACTGGATTTTCGAGCTACAGTTGAGCGTAAAGGGTATTATGGTCTTCGCCGTAAAAACGGAATGTTCACCGGATTTTGCAAATTGCAGAAACAGAGCTTCTGCAGAAATATTTTTGGGCTAGTTGCAGACTTCAGAGTCCAGAAACAGAGTTTCTATTTAGCCCAATAAGTCGAGCAAAGTTTAAAAGCCAGACAAAATCCATTATCAAGATGGGCCAACTCCCTATCTTAAACAAATTGTTAGTTTTGGTAATAAAGGGTTTAGACTATACCTGGCAAAATAGACCGGAAGCGATTACCCGCACTGAATGACCCAAAACTGAAATTGAAATGATCCAAAAAATGAAGATTCGATTTATAACCGAATAACCAAAATTGACCAAATCGAACTAAATATATCCATACCCAATTTAAAACTGAAACCAATTAGATCCAAAACCGGTTAAATCCGAAACCGATGAGACCCGAAATTGATAAGATCCAAAACCAATCAAACCGAAACTGATAAGATCCGAAACCAATTCTATCCGAAAATGATGTTGCCTGACATTAAACATATTATGTTTATGTACATTAGTGAAGAGTTACATTTGATTTCAAATTTTTATTTTACAATATGAACTAGTTATATACTTATATTACTTCCTATGTCCAAAACAAATTACCATATCTAAACAAAATTTAAAATTTTATATGTTTTAATTTTTTTTATAAATTGGTATAAGAATAAACATTATAACTTACATAAAAAATGTTAGTTAAAATTCATACAAACTAAATCACAATTAAAAATATTTTTTCACCCTCTCTCATGCAATATTGTATGGTTGGCCAAACATGTGCTTTGAATTGCATTAAATCTCACTCAAATTTTATCTAATTAATTGCATTCAATTTTACTCAATTTTAACATATTTTAACCAAATCATATGTGATTTGGTAATCCAATTATCTTAACTATATATTTGAACTAAAAATATTTTTCTTTCATAATACGTAATCCAAATTTATAAAAGATGACTAAAAGATAAAAATATAAGATATGTAGGACGAAGAAAGTATAAAATAATATGAAATGATGAATTGATGATAGATTGATAAATGTGATATGACAAAAAAATGAACGAATAATTAACTTTTAATTCGAAAATAACATATATGGAAATATATCCGAAACCAAAATATACTTGAACCGAAATATATCAAAATCGAAATATATCTGTATCGGAATGTATCCGAAACTGAAATCGATCCGAACCGAATCTGAACCGACCCAGAAACCGAATGGAAACTGAAAAATGTATGAAACTGAAATTAAACCAAATTTAATATAAATTATATTAAACCGAACCCATCCAAACCGAACTGATTATAACATATATCTGAACCGAATTATTCCAAACTAGAACCGATCTGATTGCCACCTCCACTTTAGACCCCGTTCTCTTCCATTTGTTTCTCAAATTATTACTTACTCTTTCTTGAAATTCAGATCATCTCAGATCCATTTAAATCAGATCGAATTCATTAAGAATTCATTTCGGACACAGAATTGAAATTGAATTGAGAGTTGAAACTCTATAGAATTGATTTGGGTGAAATTGAATTCCTTAATTCCAATTCATTTTTGACACTGCCAATTCTAAATCCAGATATTTTTGTACTATTAAACAACAGAATTAGATTTATTGTCCCCAAATCAAATTCCATAATTTGAATTCAATGTACCAAACGAAACCTTAGATCAGATTAGGTCAAATCTGAAATATATTAAAAACATAATGCTAAAATTATTATTATTATTATTCGAATTAGAATTTAAATAATAATTATAATTTGAATTATAATTCAAACTTAAATAATAATAATAATAATTTGAATTCGAATCATTCAAGTCTGATCTGATCAACCTACAAAAATTCAGTTAAGATCAGATTATCCATGGAGAACACTGCCTTACTCTACCAATACAATACCCCTAGTGAATTATTAATGGGTATGAACGTATGGTTACGCTTTATGCTTTTAAAATTTAGGAAAAATTATCTCAAATAATTTTCCCTTTTCGCGTTCTTTCAAAAATAATCCCACTTTTTACTGTCATCGGAAATAATTCCACTTTTCCGCATGTGTCCGAGTTTTGGGTCGCTATTAAAAAACTAAGGCCATTTAACGAAAGTTTTAGAAAATGTCTGTTTTTCGCAAATAAATAAAAGGTGGAATTATTTTAGGTAAATTTACTTTTTACTTTTTTACTTTTAAATATAAAATTAATATTCTAAAAAATTTAACAGTACACTCTTGTTAGAGATTTGTCTAACGATTAACAAATTTTGTTTTCTGTTTTGGGAAAAATATAATATTGAATTATAAAAAATAATTCAGAGTATCGATCATGAAAAAACTTGCAATGCAAAAAAAATTGTACTGATTTATAAAATTTGATTTAAAAAATTGCAATACAAATTTTCCCCAAAGTAGTGATTTATAAAATTTATTAGTGCCGTTTCGGAGAAAAAATATGGCACCATTTTGGGGAAAATTTGTATTGAATTAAAAAAATCACAAATTGGGTAGTTCCATCTTAGAAAAAAATAATATAGGCAATATAAGATTATCAATAAATATTTCGGAGTGTTCATGAAAAAAGTGCAATATGTTAGAAAATGTAGTGAGTTATAAAAATAAAAGTTCCATTTCAGAGAAAAAATTGTTGTGTTATTTTCACAACTATTTTAATGTTGTTTCACAAAAAATATTTATATAGAACTATCGAAAAATATTCATAAGTTTTCTAGTGCCCTTTTTTTAAGAAATAATAATAATATACTCCCTCCGTCCCGGAAAACATGGGAGTTTTGATTTTGAAGATGGATTTAAGGGGAGTGTATTTTGGTTTTAAATTTCCAAAAATGTTCTTTGATGTAATGGGTAAAAGTATGATTTGATAGATAGATTATTAGTAAAAAGGTATGATGAGATAGGTAGGGTATGAAAAAGTGAGAGATAAAAGTGAATTTTTAATAAAAATGAAAAGTGTTTTTTGGGACGGATGAAAAAAGAAAGGAGAAAGGTTTTCTGGGACGGAGGGAGTAGTATCAAAAAACAATTCGAAGTGCAACTCAAGAAAATATAGTAAATGCAACTTACAAAAAATGTAGTTAGTTATGAAGTAAATAATTTAGCTCTATCGTGTAGAATAATTTATACCAGATTATCGGTTATTGGAAAAAACAATTAGTTTCACTCTAAAAACACTTAAATTTGGTATTATTTTTCCAAAAAAAAATTAAAAATACATTTAAATTCAAAGGTAGAAATTAAAAAAAAACAAAAAAAGGAGAATTTACCTAAAATAATCTCACTTTTCATTTATTTGCAAAAAACGGGCATTTTTTAAAATTTCCGTTAAGTGACCGTTAGTTTTTAACGACGACCCAAAACTCGCACATATGCGGAAATGTGATATTATTTCCGGTGAGAGTGAAAAGTGAGATTATTTTTGAAAGAGCACGAAAAGGTAGGATTATTTGAGATATTTTTTGCTAAAATTCATGTCATTCGTCTTTTACGCAGATTTGTGATCAACCTAAAATATTTGTGGCATGTCTGGATACACTTCAAAAACTCTATATACCTACCATGTTTTCAATGCTAACATTTCAATTCCATGATGGGTTCATCGCAAATCCGCTAGAGAAATAATTAGTATGTGGCAAATTTTTATTGAGCACCACCGCGGTTCACAGGCGTTTACCGTCTTAACCGGTGCCAGTGGCCAATGGCGGTTCCAGGAATCGCAAGGACTGGAGGCGAGACTATTGCGGGGTTTTGGGGTAGCGCTTTTGTTTTTTCTTCAAAATAGCAATGTGAAGTTACAAAAAACATTATTTTGACTCAATAACGCATTCAAATAATTAATGAAAAATCTAAAAAAATATTTCCTATAATTTTATTTGCTTTAAATATTTTTTAATTTTGACTCTTAAACTCTTAAATTTTAAATATTTATTTTCAATGGTAAATATTTAATTTTCTACTTAATATTTATTTTTATTATGGGCATTTTGTTTTTTTCAATGGGGGCATAACTATTTTTTTTAAAAAAACTTGGTACTAGTAGTTTGAAATTCATTGGGGTCAATTGCCCCCATTAATTTGTACCTAGATCCGCCTTGGGTGCCTGGTGGTGCACTACCACACTTTCATCATATATTGTCATGGCATTGTTATTATTCACATTATCAAATTCTTATTCACAATATAAATATAATGACAATCCTATTTTAATATTTTGATGATATTTTATTCCTATTTAGAAATTTTTTGAAGAATATATGGTTCAGAACACTTTTCTTTCTTCTAAACAATTTCTAACTAGTTTTGTTTCAATACTCATCATTTTAATGTATTTTTAAGTAGTTTTTATAGTTGATGTTTTCGTACTCCTCCACAGAAAAAATGGACTTTCTCACTCTTTATATGAGTTTAAAAGTATTTTTTTTGCAAAAAGTAGCCCAACTCTTACACGTTATTCATGTATATATGCATTAAGTTCCATAAAAAGAGTGCGACTCTAAGAATAAAACATAAGGTTTTGCCATTTTTTGTCTTCGTAAAGTTTAAAAGAGAAAAGTATTACTTCCATCCCTGGATATTTGTCTTGTTTTGAATTTTACAATCAACTGTTTTTCAACATTTGGCCTATAATTAAATACTCTCTCCGTCCCTTAAACTACTTCCCTTTTCTTTTTTTCTTGTCTCACTAACTCCTTCCCTTATCTATTAAAAAACCATTTTATCCCTTATTTTTTCATACTCTACCTATCACATCATACCTTTTTATTAATAATCTATTTATCACATATTATTTTTACCCATCACATCAATGATATTTTTGGAAAGTCAACACCAAAATATCTCTCCCTTATTTTTTCAAAAAGTCAATAAGGGAAGGACTTTAAAGGACGGAGGGGGCATAATATTTGTGATATACTCCGTATTAATTATAAAAAAATAGTAATTTGATAATATTTTATAAAATAAATCTAATGCTCCCTCGATTCTCCAAAACACTTCTTCTTTCATTTTTTTCACTAAAATACTTCCACTTTTCATTAAAAACCATTGTTACCTCTATTTTTTTTTACCCTACTTAACACATCATACTTTTTGTCTAATAATCTATTCATCACATCTTACATTTATCTATCACATTAATGACAAAATTGGAAGTCAACAATAATTTAACACTTCCTTATTTTGGCACTTGGTCAAAATTGGAAGCGTTTTCAAAAACGAAGGCAGGAAAATTATTTTGTACTAATATACAATATCATTTTTTTAAATTTATGATCAAAGTTTATCAAATTTAACTCAAAAAAAATTAAAATAGAGACACTCCCATTTAGGAGGGCGAGAGAGTACTGTAAGTCGGTGGAAAAGCAGACACACAAATGTATGGTAGTGTAAAAATAACACCACAACCTAACAAGCACTCCCATATAGGTAGACTAGTCTCCTAGCTAGCTAGCTAGGCGCCCTAGGTATCAATATATAGGGAGTAATACGTCTCCTCTTACACTGAACCATAAAGGCAAAACCAAACAAAAGTCAGATTATGATCAAGCTCGGAAAACCTTATTAGCACTTTTAACAAAGCATCATTAGAAACATGTAATGAGAACAAAAGGATAGGGTTGTGTGGGTGTTTTGTCCGGCTCACGGTTTTAGCTAGGGAGTTTATTGGCAGCACTCCCATCCCATGCATATATGGTTCAATAATGCATGCACTTACTGATACGAATCTTGTACGATTCGTATCGGGATAGGGAAGAACTTCGAGCGTCTTCGAACTCCAAGAAAGGGGAGGCAAAGAGAGATGGAAAACTTCGAGCGTTTCCGGACTCCAAGAAAAGAGAGACGAGAGATTAAGAGAATTCTTGAGATTATTGATTGATTGAATGATAATGATACGGGATTACAATATATAACGATGAGACGTTCCCCTACATGACCTAATGGGCTCGGGCCCATACAAAAACCCTAGCTAATCTATAAAATACTGATAAATAATAATAATTAACTACTAAATAATAATATAACTAATTAAAATATTCCAAATAACTATCTATATCATTCCCACCCCCTTAAAATCCACCTTGTCCTCAAGGTGGGGGCTCCTACTCGTGCTTTAGGACCGGAGAAAGAATGCTGAACCAAAGGAGCAGTCCATTCTTTGAATCTTTAACCAGCGTGGCTTTTGCAGTAAAGTGGTGGAAAAAGGACACGGGGCGCATAGCATATGTAGTTGCTCTCGGTGAAACCAGGTGCTCCGTCTTGACCACATCCACAAGGTCAAACAACTTAATGGTGTCATCAAATGAAATGAGGTTGTCCACTTGCTTCTTATTTGCATTTGTCATCTTGAAGATACTTGCTGGAACCTCGTACTCTGCAATTGTCACCCCAACTGAGTTATGTAGTGGTACATAAAAGTCATGGGGTGTAGAATCAAACTTGTAAGATGGCTGTCACTTTGAATAGTAACACCATCATTTTCATCAATAGCACCCCCATCTTCGCCCACTATGCCAGGCTTGCTATAATCATCCTCTTTTATATGAGACTCCTTGCTTGATTCATTTGACCCATCTATGTCCTCCACAATGGGGACAGGGAGTGTGGTTGCGACTTCCACCATGTGAACAAATGCGTCTCTAGCCTTCTCCGATGACATCGTAGCTAACCACTGCACTGATTTGGTTCCGTCACATCTTGAGGGCAACGTTAGTGGAGAAGTTGCACCTGTCACTTTCTGTATAATACCCATAATGTGTGCTCTGAAAATTTGTAACTCAAAAGGAATTTGACTTGGCACAATTGGAGGTCCACGAACCAAATCCTGTACCGAGCAAAAAAAATCTACGTCGAGCGCATCATAATCAATTTGACCTTTAAAATTATGGATCGACCTGAGCTTCATAATAATTTCATACACGTAATCAAAAATCAAACACACCCCTTCATCATACTCAATTTCTCCATAAAGGACATTCCTCAACAAACCAAGAAGTGTGTCCACTGCACCGGTCATCGCCACGACCATATCAGGGGTACTTTTCGAAGCTTCTGTCATAGTTATTCTTAAAATAATATGTGAAACAAACTAACCTTGTGCCTACAAATCAATTGATACCAATAAAAAATGCAGCAGCAACTATAGATTGAGCCGTCCAGTGGTGCATGCAGCAACTAAGTGGCTAACACAATATTGCAGCAACTAAGATTTAGGGCAAATAAATTTGGGGCGGTCGGCCAATAATCATTTTGATTAGTAAATTGAATTCCAGCTATTGCGGCGGCTCCATGCTTCGTCTCGTCAGGGCTTCCGCGATTTGGACTTTTTTTTTTTTGAAATTTCTCTCAATGAGAGCACCAATTGATACGAATCTTGTACGATTCGTATCGGGATAGGGAAGAACTTCGAGCGTCTTTGAACTCCAAGAAAGGGGAGGCAAAGAGAGATGGAAAACTTCGAGCGTTTCCGGACTCCAAGAAAAGAGAGACGAGAGATTAAGAGAATTCTTTATTATTGATTGATTGAATAATAATAAAACGGGATTACAATATATAGAGATGAGACGTCACACCTACATGACCTAATGGGTTCGGGCCCATACAAAAACCCTAGCTAATCTATAAAATACTGATAAATAATAATAATTAACTACTAAATAATAATATAACTAATTAAAATATTCCAAATAACTATCTGTATCACTTACGTACCCTAATTCCCTTCTCTAGCTAGCTAAACTACATGCACTACTTGAATTGCACTTGGCTGCATGCATGGCAGGTACTATGGATCCATCACCCATTCTCATATATATTTACAACCTAGCTATCTAGCTACATGGTGGCCATGAACGAACAATGCTTAATTGGGCAAGTTAGTTAGCTAGATAGCTAGGGCCTAGCTAGGGGGAGCCATGGTTGTTGTAGGGGCCGGGACACAATCACCCAAACACTTAGAGGACAAAATAACGACTCTAATAGGAGATCTAGATGTGCTAGCCAAAGCGGATCCGAACAAGGTTTGAGATGAGAGGCGGATCCAGAATTTTACAACCATGAGGTCCTCTACCTCCTATTCTCATATCAAACTACTCTCTCCGTCCCGTGAAACATGTGACATTTGCTTTTTAGGAGGGATTTAAGGGAGTGTATTTTTGTATTGAATTTCCAAAAATGTCCTTTGATGTGATGTGTAAAAGTATGATTTGATGGATAGATTATTAGTAAAAAGGTATGATGTGATAGTTAGGGTATGAAAAAGTAAGGGGTAAAAGTGACATTTTAATAGAAATGAGAAGTGTTTTGTGGGACGGATAAAAAAAGAAAGGGGAAATGTTTCACGGGACGGAGGTAGTACTTCATAACTCTTAACATTTAACAATAAACTAAAACCAATATTTAAAAAGTACCATAATTAATACATAGAAATAAAGTTATACGAAAATAATATCGTTTACAATTGTACTCGAGACACCGGAGCACTGACACTGTTACCAATTCCACTTGACTCCGAATCTTTGAATTTGGGTAGCTTTTTGAAGTACCTTTACATTTTAAATTCTGTAAATAAAAAATTAATATTAATTACATAAATTAGACATAAAATGAACTTTAATACAATAATACTTATCACTTGCAATCCTAAATCAATTTTTTATTGAAGAAAAAACTTTAATTCTTTAATGAATAAGTAATGAATAAAAAATAAATTTATAAATTAATATATATTTATATATTACTAATCATATATCAAACTTCAAACTACCATAAAAATTAATTTTAGTGAAATAAAAAAGTTTTTTAGGGGTCTCCAAAGGACTGAGACGAGAGTCCAACCCAGGTTTCCTGGGTTTCAATCTTACGCACGCTTCCACCACACCACATTCAATTCTATTTACTAGGAGCTACGCGTTTATTATATATTAATATGTTTACAAACCTAATACCTATATGGACCTATGTACACCAGGGTCCGTGGGATCCCGGGACCCCATAGGACTCAAGGTAAGTCCGCCTCTGTTTGAGATAGAAATTCTAGATTAAACGTTTTATCATCTTGTTGTAATGTACCGGTGTAACTTGCATCTAGTGATTTAGTGGAAAGCTATTATACAGACGTGGGCCTCGCAGATTAGGAGAGTTTATCTGAACTATGTAAACATATCTAGTGTTCTTCTTTGTGTTTTATAGTTACAACATTCTGTCTAGTAGACGTTGTAACACTCTCTATATCATTTGCTTCTGTGTGTGCTTGTGACAAAGAATGTGACATTGTTTGTCATTTGTTATTGTGAGAATGCTAGAACATCCTCTTAGCAGCCTATTTGTTTGATTTGTTTGCATAGCTTATATTTTGTGATTTTTGCTGCACTTCTGGTTATTTCAGTAAGTTAGCACTAAAGCTGATTAGGAGTAACATCGTCATTTTGTAGATGAAAATTTTCTTTGAAAGTAGAGTACTGAGCAGGGAGACCATAAATATTAGCATTGACAATTTCACATTCAGTGATGTTTTCACACAAGGCATCCAGGTTGACGAGGATTGTGGCAACTTTATCGAGATATTGAATCATACATTTGGCATCTTTTCAAATAGCGTGCAGCTTGTCTCGGAGTTGATAGATGTGAGGAGTTGACACGGAGTTGTACCGTGTTGCTAATGAATCCTAGAGGGTGGTTGCGGCAGTGAACGCTCAAGCATGTTTATGAACGTAGAGTAGGACTGATAACAACTACTCCCTCCGTCCCAAAAAGTCTTTCCTGTTTACTATTACGGCCTCTCGATAACTCTAATTTATTTGCGTGTTTTCATTGATCATTTGATAAAATAAAATATTCTTGTCGCCTCTTATTTTGTAAAGTTTTCGATGTAGTTTTCAAATAAAATCTAGGATTTCCTTACCAATTTTCAAATAAAATCATTTTAAAATCTACGAGGTTTTTCACGTTAATCAAAACAGGAAATTCTTTCTGGGACGGAGGAAGTAGTAAAAAAGCTCGGATGAGTTTCAATGACGATCCACATGGCATGTTCAAGAGTTACAACTCCATCTTTCAGCTAGGATCATCTTTGGTGGAGGTTTTTCATATCCAACGATCCAACCAAGCAGAAGATAGCCTTGAAGTGCGATTTGAACATTTAATTCAGAGGCCATGCATGATAGTTTGTTACAATACAAGGACAACGTAAAGGTTTATTTAATTTCTTTGTTTTCCTGGAAAAAAGGGGAAAGGGAGTTACATGGGGTCATTTTGCAAATTTTTAAAATTGGAAGGAGACATATTGAGTAAACTTACATATCATTACATATCCACGTGGTACTCAATCAATGGAGGAGCATAAACCCCTTAAGTTGCAAGGGCGATAGAATTTAGGACCAGAAAAGAGTCACTAGATTGTGCGATAATACAATTGAACTGAACCACAATAAAAAATTGAATATAGTTCAACTAAAGAACTAACATACCAATTAATTTTCTCTTGAATTTTCAATGTGAGATAAACTAAGTTAATCGTCTTGGTCTAATTTAATATTTTTGGGTTAAAGTGTAGCAACTTGAAAGAATGAATGACTAATTTTACAAATAAGTTTTAGTTCAAAAGGAACAGAGGTTCGTACTGTCCCGGGGTGGGAAAAATAAAACAGGGCAGCAGCAGCAGCAGCAGCATCGCATGATTGAGCGCGCAGGGAATCAAATTCAATTATGTGTTTGCGCATATGTCCAAAACAAAAGACAAGCTGGTGCACATGTCGCCATGGAGAAGAATATCCCATTTAATCAAGATATAACTATATATACATATACACGGAGTATATATAATAAAATCAAAGAAAGGGGTGCTGACTAGACTTTGACCGTTGATCGAGACCTTTGACCGCCGCCTGCCGCCGGCCACCGCCGGTTTCCGGAATATGCCACGCCGGTCACCGGAATCCGCCACCTGCCGCCGCCAGTCCCCGGAATCCGCCGGTCTCCGGAAACCGCCGCCGCCGCTGACCGGTGGTTGACCGGTGTTGCTATTTTATTTTTTATTAGTTTTTAAAAAATATTATTCTCGTTTCTGTTCACGCAGTTTAACCGACTTTATTTTCATTTTAATTTGTTTGATTGTAGGAGTAAAATCTAAAAATAAAGTTTATACTTTTAAAAAGCTACATCAAAAGTTCTACAAAACAAGAAGTAATAAGATTTTTTTATCAAATAAATAACGAAAATAGATAAAGAAAATTTAACTGTGTGAATAGTAACTGGGACGAACGTTTTAGGATGGAAGAAGTAGTAGTCATTCTCTCTCGTAATTTTATTTTTCTTTGACTTGATACAAATTTTAAAAAAATAATTTTTTTATTATTATTCGCGTAATGATAAAGATCACGATTTTTTTAGACTAATGCTAGAATCACAAATAAACATTTCACAAAATTCACAAACTTGTTTTTTTAATATTTTCCAAGAGATAATAAGATGAACTCAAATAATAAAAGATATTTTAATTTTAAATCTACAAAAGGCAAGTTTGTGAAGTCTGTGACTCCAGCATTTTTCTTTTTTTAAAGAGAAAAGAAAAATTTATTGAGACAATTCAAATATAATGCTTTGTTACTATAAAACATAACAATTCTTATCTGTTCTATACCTGTAAAATAAGTTTCAATAAAAAATTCTACTTGTACTTTTTTTTGTGGCTGTCATAATATCTCTTCTT